ATCTCATCTCCAGGGCTAAGCTCACCAGTTTCTGTAGCCAGGGCATGAGGAGGGAGTGGGTGTGAACAGATTCCCCCCCCCACCACACACACATACACACACACACTCTCCTTCTTTGCAATCTTGCCCTGAGCTGCCCCCACTGGAGTAATGGGGATTTGGGGTGCTGTGTGCGGAGGGTGGGGGGGGAGAGCAATGCAGCCCGCTCCGCCCTCCCCGAGAGCCACGGGGACAGGTGTCTGATCACAGCAGGGACCTCTCTGGTGCCAGGCGGGGGCTGGGTCTAGACACGCTTGTGCGGGACCTGGGGCTGAGTTTTGCTAGTTTTTTAAACCCTGCTGGTTTCCAGGCAGCGCCCTGTGGGTTGGGGCTGAAATCTACCTGAGCTGTGCTTGACGTCCGAGTCCGATTCCTTCATAGACGGGGGAGTTTGGACCCAGATCAGAACTTTCCCTAGAGCTGGGGGTGGTGGTGGTGGGGGAAGCTGGTGCTGGAAGGCGTTAGGTGGGGAGTTTGGCCTTGAATGGACACTCCCTTGAGCAAAGGTGCGGCTAACCTCCCTGAGGTTGATCCCAACCAGGCAATGGCTCTGGGAGCTTTACTGTCCCCGGGTTCTTGCACCCCGCCCATCACCGTCCCGTCCGAATACTTGGATCAGAACCGCCGGGGGTGGGGCGGGTGGGTTGGGTCTCGGGGGCCGGGTGTCCAGTTTCCTCTCTGTTATAGGAACGGGGCTGGAGGGTGTGAGGTTGGTGTGAGGATCGGAGCTTTCCCTGGATCTCTGGTGCGGGGATCGCGTCCCGGGACCGGCTCCGCTGCTTACGGAGATGAGAGCGGGTCTGGGGCTCGAGTGGGGGGCGGCCAGCCCCGAAGTTTGCCTTCCAGCCGCCCCGCCGTTTAACGAGCAAAGTTATCCAAGGGCGGCTGTCGGGCCGGAGGTGCTGGGCTGTGCTGGGAGCGGGCTGAGTGCCAGGTGGGTGTGTCAGGCTGTTGTTTCTTTGGGATCGGAGGCCGCCGTCAAAGTTTTTCCTGGCCCGTTGGGGTAAAGGGGGCCTTGATGCCAATGGAGCAGGGCCGGTCTACACCAGTTGGGGGTCTGGCCCCTGCTGGTGGCTCTGTAACCCTTGCCAGTGTTTGGGGCACACAAGAAACCCCTGCCCCACCTGGTGCGGGGGATGACTGTGGCTGCTGCAGAAATCCAGAAGCCCTGCGTGCCGATCTCCTCCGTGCTGCCCCCTCTTGGCCGGGGTGGGGATCGCTGCCTCCCCAGCCCCTCGCCGGTCCCTGCAGCCTGCGGGCCTGCGACAGAGATTTCCCAGCCCTGGGACTGAAGGTCGGGGTGGCACGCTTTGCCCAAACTGCACTTGGGTATCCCACCCCCTGCTCCTGCGGCTGGCACACTTGTCTGCCCCCAGGATGCTCCTCCGTCCGTCTCTGCACAGCGCCCCCTCGTGGCTGGGAGATATTTCCTTGGTGCCCTCCTCCCCCCCCCCCCGGCCCGTATGGTTGGCACAGGGGGTGCTCCTTGCCCGCAGTGCTCTCCTGGGTCGCTGTGGCACTCCCAGAACTGGGCATGTATCCCTGGGGCATGGCTCCCTCCTCCCCTCGAGGGTGCCCCCGCCTGGCACCAAGCCTGGTCCAGCCCAGGCAGCTGATTCTCTCACTCCTGGGTTCCTCCCCAGCGTAACGCGGCCGTCCGGCTGCCCGCGGGTGCTTCATGGGGGGGGGGGCGGCGCAGGGGGAGCGCGCCACGTGTGTGTGTGTACATCACATGTTCCAGCCCAGTGCCAAGCCGTGACGTTGGGGGGGAGGAGCTGCGCCCTCTGGTGCCATACGGAGCAGCCAAGTCCTGTTGATCGGGGCGGCGCTGATCCGAGGCTGGTGGCGGAGGTTGGCGGGAGGTGCTGGCATTCGGGGCCGGCGGGGCGACTCGGTGGGATGTTGGCATGGCAGCCAGGCGGAAGCGGCACCTGTGGGGTGAGTCAGCACCCCTCGCGTATCTCACCAGCATCTTCCTTCCTTCTCCTCCCTCCTGTCTTCCTTTTCCCACCCATCCTCTGCCTTTTCTCCTCTGTCCTCTCTGTCTCACTCACGCGCTCTCTCCTGTCCCCGCTACCCCACTCACGGCCCTCTGGAGGCCCCCCGCGTCGCTGTTTAGCTGCGTCCCACCCCGGCGTCGGCGGGCATCTTTCTGCCACCTGAGCTGGGCTTGTGCTGCTGCCCCGGCTGGACTGAAGCAAGTGGCGTTCTCTGAGCCCAGCTCGGTCGGGGGGTGGTTGGGAGGGAGCAGGGCACGATCCGGCGGGAAGCTGGGAGCCGCGTAGCAAGGATGATCAAGAAGCAAGTTCAGAGGGGTGATCTCCCGCTGCCCCCGGCACACATCTGGGCTGCTGCGGACTGAGCTACAGGCACCGTGCATGAGGTCCTGCTCCCCTCACCTATTGCTGTGCCCAATTCCAGCCTGGGAAGCCATCCAGATGGCGTGTCACTCGAGAGGCACCTTATTCTTCTGGGCCTTTTCTCTGCTTGGCAGCGTAGGTGGGTGAGTGAAGTCTAGTGGTTAGAGCAGGGGGAACTGGGTGTCAGGATTCCTGGGTTCTCTCCCCAGCTCTGGGAGGGGAGTGGGGTCTAGTGGTTAGAGCAGGGGGGATCTGGGTTCTATTCCCGACTCTGGGACTTTGGGCCAGTTCCCATCCCCTGTCTGTGCCGCTGTTCCCACCTCTGCAGAACCTCCGGCTTCCTAGCGGAAAGGTTAACGGGATCGTGTTGCTGTGGGTGCGCAGGCCTCTGTCTGCGGGAGTGACCAGCAGGGGGCAGGATTGGGGGTGGAGGTATTGCCGCTCGGACCAGCTGCTCAGCTTGCAGGTGTCTGCTTCTGTCCTTAAAATAGAAGAGGAAATTGCAGGGAGTCGCCCCAGCATGGGCTGGTGTCCATCTGCCGGGGTGTGTGTGTGTATCTTGTTCATCCAGCTCTTTGTGACCCTCTGATGGAAGGTGCTTTTCCTGATTCAGTGTCATCTTACAGCTGGGGAATCAGAAGTGGGAGGGAACACCCCCGAGATCACCCAGTGAGGGATAGAACCCCTGAGTCCTGACTCCCAGCCTCCTCTACTCTAACCACTAGACCCTACTCTCTTATCTGGGGATAGAGCCCGGGAGTCCAGCCTCCTAGCCCTGTATTTATCGCCAAGGCCATCTCTACAGTCCTGAGCCCAGAGAGCTGGAGATCTGGGTGTAACGGGCACTAAGACGTGCCCATGGTTGTTTTGGGTCCCTTTTCCGCATGAATCCCCGAGCCTGTCCTCTCTTGACCCCCTCTCTGATCCCACAGCTGGAGGGCGGGCGACGTTTCCATGAACTGACGCCTCCAACTTCCAGCATGGCGCCCGGGGCTTGGCATCCAAGCCAGCCGGCCGGGCACAGCTCCCAGCTGGACCTGGGGGCAGGGAGTTCGGTGGGGGCCAGTGAGGTTGGCAGGTGGGAGCAACGGAGGAAGGTGGGGAGGTCACTTGTGGGTGGGGCGCTGGGTCAGCAGCCCGGATTCCTGCTTCCCTTGCCGCCCTGCCCAGTTCTGTCCCTGGAGCCCAGCAGGGGTGCGGGGGAAGTCACTTGGGGTGAGGGGGGGGTCTCTGGGAGGTTACATGGCTCCTGCTCCCCCCCAGTTCTGTCCCTGGTTACCCTGGGTTACTCTCCTGCCAGTTTGTCTCCCCTCCCCCCACTTCTGTCCCATGTCTGAGCCCAGCCCCCCTCCACACCCTGTCCTCTATGTCCCACACCGGGTCCCCTCCCCCTGCTCAATGTGTGCCCCATAACCCAGCAGGGAGGAGGTGCGGGGGCTCCCTCCAGCTCAGCAACGGGGCATGACCCCCCCCCCTCATCCCCGGACGGGCAAACTCCCTCGCCCTGTCTGGTCCCTGCCCCCAAATCCCCCTGTCGCTGCCTTCGCCCACCCTCCTCCTTGGAGCGGGGCCGTGGTTCAGGGAGAGCTGGTGGGGGAGGGCAAAGGGGGGCTCGGGCCCAGCCGTGACGCCCTACGGCAGCACCCTGTTCCCGGCCAAAATTAGCCGGGCCCTGGGAGCAGCAGACAGGAAAAGGCCTGGCCTGGCCGCTGCCTCCCCCTCCCCTCGCCCGGCTCACGTAGGCCCAGCCCGGAGAGGGGCCTCTGGGCCGCCTGCCAAGGGCAGTGGGGGGGGGCAAGCGGGGGCTAGCACTCCTCCAGCCCCCCCTCCTGCATCGGTGCACTCTGGATGGCCGGAGCCCTGCCCCTCCAGGGAAGGGGTTAACCGACCCCCCCCGGAGTACCGACACCCCCCCCCTCACTCAGGCAACCCCCCCCCCTTCCCAGGATTAGCTCAGCTCTGCCCAGCCACATTTCCCTAGCGGAGGGCTTCCCATGGGTACAGGGCACCCCCCGACTATGGGGGGAGCTGTGACATGGGCGGGGCTTGCCCAAGGTCACAGAGCGGAAAGAACCCAGGAGTCCTGACTCCCAGCCCCCTCCCTGCTGTAATCACTAGATCTCACTCCCGCCTTATCTGAGATCGAGGTGGGGCAGCCCTGCGCTGAACAGTGAATGTCTGGGTGGCAAATTCCAAGTTGAGTTGCTTTTAAATGAAAACAACAGCTAGAGAGCCAGCGACGGGGAGGGGAAAGGAAAAGGTATCCAGGGGGCCGTGAGCTGGGTTTGGGATCCAGAAGGCGCCGACTCTGGTTCTGTTCAGGATGCGGCTCAGTTCTGGTTAGTTTGGCTTTGATCTGGTTTTGATCTGGATCTGTTTCTGGGTCTGGTTTGGCTCCGATCTTGTTTTGAGCTGGGTCTGGTTCTGTCCCGGCTCAGTTCGTTCATTCCCACGCAGTGTTCTTGGCTCCGTCGGCTGGGCCGTGGAATCGTGCCGAGGAAAGGTTGTGTTGCCTGCCAGTGTCGGCCGGCCGGCCCTCCCGCTCCCGGCAGCGCCAGGATGCAGCAACGTGGCCCGTGGCCATCCAAGCCCGTGCTGTTGGCTCGGCACCCGTGCACGGGCTGCGCGGGGCTGGGCGTGGCACGGGATCGGATGGGAAACCCAGGACAGATGCTCTGTCGGCTGTGTGACGTGGGATTGGTCATTCAGTAGGGGGTGCTCTCCCAATGCAGCCAGTGCAGTGCTAGGGGGCGCTGTGCTGCAGGGAGTGGGGAGGGAGCTCGGTAGGGGGGCGCTTTCCCCTCACTGTCAGTGCTGGCCTCAGTGCCCCAGCACGGGCTCTTCCTCTCCGAGCACGTTGTTGCGAAGTTACAGCTGCCAAGCCCCAGCCCAGAGCTGGCTGCATTTCAGTGTTGGGTGAGGGATCCCTGTACCAACCAGTCCTTAAAACGCTGTGTGTACCACTGCACAGTTGTGTGTCATAAGTCCCGTACTGCTCCCAGCTGATAGGGATTCTCCATTCTCATTTGGAGCAGGGGAAAAGGGTCTGTCCCTTGCTGTGGCTGCAGTTGATGTGCCCTTTGCCAGGGCAGGCGGGGGCTTCTTCCTCCCCCTCCCACTGGCTCTCTCACTACCTAGGGCACCACCTCCCTCCTTCCACCCGTGCCGGTGGGGGGGGGTGTCTCCCCACCCTTCCCTGCTGCCCCCAACCCTTTTTGGTGCAGGGGAGGGGGCTGGGCAGGTGCGGAGGGCGATTGAGGGCAGGGAAGGGGGTGGTACCAGCCCCTTGCTGGATGAGAGGGACAGTGGGGCTTCACGCACCTTAGCCCTTGGGGAGGCCTCAGGTACAGGGCCCCCCCCCCCCACTGCACTGCACCCCCTCAGGTGGGGCAGCGGGGACAGAATATTCCCAGCCCTGAGGGGCCGGGAGCTCAGACTTTTTGCCCGCTCAGGGGTAGATGGGGGGAGGTAGGTGAAAGGGGGTCCTGGAGACCCCCACTCCCAGGCATTTCTAAGAGGCCAAGCAGGCTCGGCGAGGGGACCCCTGCCCAGGGGTATATTGTTGGGAGGGGAGGTGGGCTGGGGAATAGGCTGGAGGGGCCGATCCCACCCCAGGAGGTGGTTGTAGACTGTAAGGGGAGGGGAGGATGTTGCCCCGGAGCGGGGGAGATCCTGCCTGGGAGGGTGGGGCTGGTTGGAAGGGACCTGCTGGGGTTGGAGGGAGGGTTGGTTAGCAGAGTGGCTGGGCTGGAGGCTGACAGCTTCCCCCCTCCCTCTCCCCCAGCCCTTCCCGCTGCTCCAGGCAGCCAGGCCTGGCACCCAGCCCGGTGTGCAGAACACGGTGTCCTGGACAGGCTGCCAAGTGCACGTGCGGACACGGCGCGCGGGCGGGGGGGGGGCGGGGAGTGGACGTAGAGGGGAGGGGAGGGGAGGCTCTCCTATGGGGGATGGGGAACTGTGATTTAGGGAGTCTGTGCTGTGGGGGGGAGGGAGGCATGATTTTGAGATTTGGGTGCCCTCTGGGGGGCAGGTGTGCTCTTATTGGGAGTGAAGGACCTATGGAGGGAGGCTTGGGGCCGAGGTGCTGTATTTCATGGGCAGATGGTGGAGAAGTGGGTTAACTCACTCAAGGAAGATTCCCACACTGGGTGCCGGGCAGGGCACTGCTCTGGGGAAGCTCACCGCTCCGGGTCCCACACTGGGTGCCAAGCAGGGCACTGCTCCGGGGAAGCTCACCGCTCCAGCCCATGCTGAGAAGCAAAGCTGCTTGCTGAGCCCTGGCCTGCAGTGAGGGTGTGAAATCAAGGGGTGCACATGTTTTTTGGGGGGGGTATCCTGGCCTCTGAGCTGTCTGTTCCCTGGGGCTGGGCCACCTGCTGTCACGTGCTTGGTGAGGTAACTCACAGCTGTCAGAATATAACATGGAGGGGGGGGGGAATGCTCCCTCCCCCACACAAGCTTCATCTGGGGCAGGTGTCGGGGCACTGCTGTGAGGAAGCTCTCAGCCACACATCTCAATCCCCCCCTCTCCCCTTGCATACACTTGCTCTGGGACAGGCATCAGGGCACTGCTGTGAGGAAACTCGCAGCCACGCCTTCCTCCCCACCCCCTCTCCTGCAACACGCCCCGCAGTACCTGTCGGACAGAGAACTCTGCAACTCGGGGCATGAGTGAGTGGCTCCCCCCGATGGCACTGGAGCATCCCCAGCTGGGGGCTAGCTTTTGCCCCCCGCCTCCGGTGCCAGGTTCCCATCTCCGCCCACAGCTGGCCCCGAGCCCCACTCCCGCGGTACGTCGCTGGCGGCTAAGACGTGGATACCTCTGGCAAAGCCCCACGTTCTCCCCAGGCGCCCGGCTCCCAGGGTGGGGTGGGAAGTGGGCAAAGGGCCAAGGACAGAGGCAGAACAGGCTGTTCTCTCACGGCTGAGGGGGAGGGGCGGGCTCGGCAGCTGGGCCTGGCGGATGGTGGGAGGGTCTGGCCGGAGGAGGGCGAGCCAGGCTGGAGGGGGTGCCAGGCTGGAGTTGCGCCTGTGACGCCGGGGGCGCAGAGACGGGGGATGGTTTGGGTAGGAGCTGGGGATATTGGGGGGTGCTGGGGTGGGGAACGGGCAGGGGGCACTGGGATATTGGGGGGCTGCTGGGGTGGGGAGCAGGCAGGGGGCACTGGGATATTGTATGTGTGAGGGGTGGGGGGGAATGGTCCTAGTCTCTTTCCTATGCATAGTTGGCTTAGACTCCCCTCCCCTCATCACACACTGCCCCCCTCCCCTCGAGGTTCCCCCACATCCCCCTTTGCCCCCTCCCCCGGTCCCCACCCCTAATATTAACGGTCTGTTGGGACCCCATGCGGGACCTGGCTCTGAGCAACCCTGCAGCTGCTGGGGGGTGGTGTCTGTTGGGGGTTTTCTGGTTGCGGGGGGCTCTGGGGGGTGTCCCTGTGCAGGGGGCTGCCCTGGCCCCCTGCTCTGTCCCCCCTCCCCCACAGGGATATCCCGAGGGGCCCTGGGAGAAGCTGGTGAACGGGGCTTGGGGTGACCCTGTTTGGCTGAGTACAATCAGGGGAGGCCATGTCTGGCGTGGGTGGGTCGGGGGGCTAGTGGGGTCAGACCATGGAGCCTTCCTGCCCCTCCCAAAATCAAACCAGTCAGCAGTACAGCTGGAAATAGAACCCAGGAGTCCTGCGCCCAGCCCTCTGCTCTAACCACTAGACTCCCCTCCCAGAGCTGGGGATAGAACCCAGGAGTTCTGGGTGCTAGCCCCTCTGCTCTAACCACTGGACCCCACTCCCCTCCCAGAGCCAGGGAGAGAGCCCAGGAGTCCTGGTGCTCAGCCCCCTGCTTTAACCACTAGACCCCACTCCCCTCCCAGAGCCGGGGATAGAACTCGGGTGTCAGGCTTCGCTCTGGGGCCTGTTCTGTGTGTGCCAGAGGGGGGAACGAGCGTCCCCCCGGAGCAGGTGCCCTGACCTGGCGCTGTGTCTCGTCCCCCCCCCCCCCCCCGGCCAGCCGGTCTACAACAGAGCTCCGCAAAGAGAAGTCGCGGGACGCGGCGCGATGCCGGCGGAGCAAGGAGACGGAAGTGTTCTACCAGCTGGCCCACACCCTGCCCTTCGCCCGGGGGGTCAGCGCCCACCTGGACAAGGCCTCCATCATGCGCCTCACCATCAGCTACCTCCGGATGCACAAACTCATCACCTCGGGTGAGGCCCCCTCCCCACCTTTGGGTGCCAGGACATTCCCGGCTCCCCGCCGGCGCTCGGACGCGGGCGAGGGGCGGCACCAGCTCTGCCTGCTCCCAGCAGCTGGGTGGGCCCAATGGGATGGCAGGCTTCAGGGTGCCGGTGGGGTTGGGGTCAGGAAGGGGATCTGGCCCCCTCCAGGCATTGTAGGGGAGACTCGGCTGGCGCGGAGGCATCTGGGATTGACCATTGCTGGGCACGGGCTGGAGGGACCCATGGGTTTGAGCTGGTGGGGGGGAAGTGAGAGAGATACCAGGCTGGATGGGCCCCTGATGGAGGGCACCAGGGGTCTCATCACTGGGGGAGGGTTGTGGGGCAGACTGGAACCGGCCCCTCCCCCCGTTAGAGCCCTGCGCTCCCCCCCCCCCGGCTGCCCCGGGGCGGGGGCCCGCCCTGACCCCTGTGCTTGTGGCCGGCAGAGGAGTGGCGCGGGCAGCCGGAGCAGGTGGACGCCTGTTACCTGAAGGCGCTGGACGGTTTTGTCATGGTGCTGACGGAGGAGGGCGACATGGCGTATCTGTCGGAGAATGTCAGCAAGCACTTGGGGCTGACCCAGGTGAGTGGGGTGTGTGTGTGTGTGTGGGGGTGGGGGTGTGGGTACACCCCCTGCTGGCAGGGAGCAGGGCTGGGGGCTCCATCCCCGGCCCCACTCTGGGATCCCCTCCACGGCCGCCACTGGGAATGGGAAAGGAGTGTGTGTATGTGTGTGGGGGGTTGCTGTGCGGGGGGGGAGTGTTAATCCATCAGCTGGTCGCCCTGCTCGGGTAGGCAGGGACCAGGGGCCTGAGGGGAAAGCACTGAGTGTGTAGCCGGGATGGGGTGGGGGGGGGCGCAGGTC